CCAGAATGCCTGACTTTGCACAGGTGCAGACAGGCTGTGGGGGTGGAGTATCATCAATGTGTGTTGGTTAGTTTGGCTGAACCGTTTTTCTCTTTTAAAAATTGTGTTGTTGTGATGGAAGATTGGCTGTACGGCAACGTAAAAAACGAATGATACCATAAAGACACTTTTAAAAAAGAGAATAAAGGAGTTGAACTAGGTCATCATCTCCACGTTCCTTTCTAGGACTGATATTCCGGGATTCCCTCAGTCTTTGATTCGTCAACTTTGAGAATTGTGAAGGACCCTCCAGTTCATCTCAGCCAATGTCCCTTAATTTGTAGATGAAGAAACGAACCAACTCTGCCCTCCACAAGTGACTAGCTGTTTGAGAAAGCGCAGGCTTGATTGTGTTTCTATTTTAAAATGCAGAAGGCTTTAGTAGCTTAGTTGAATATCAGAAGGAAGCATGTCGGAGTTGTATTTCAGGGAGTACCTGAACCCCAGAAGATGAAGGGAGTGTATTTAGGTGAGGCTGGTTGCTGGGCCTCCGTTGGCACCATCTCTGACAGCAGCAGCCTTGTTGCCGTCAGAAGAATGGCTTCTTGTTGCCGGCTGGGTTCTCCAGAGACTCACTTAGCGCATCTCGTTGTGTGCTCAAGGAGCTGCAAGCTAAATGAAGGCATTTGCTTGAGTTTGCTCTTTGTTTTCTTCCCTCTGGTTGAAACTGTTGAAGCTGTCTGCAGAATTCAACTCATCGCTCCTTATGTGGCCTTGTTAATGTGCTGGAGAGAGTCTTGTTATGTTTTAATGGGGAGGGAATTCAGAATTTCTTACTTTCTTTAGGAGTCTTGCACACTTGAGCTTAGTGTTCTAAAAGTCCTTTTGAAAAAATAAATGGGGGCAGCTAGGTGGCGCAGTGGATAGAGCTCCAGCCTTGGAGTCAGGAGGACCTGAGTTCAGGTCCAGCCTCAGACACAGGACACTTACTAGCTGTGTGACCCTGGGCAAGTCACTTAACCCTAATGACCAGTCAGCTCATAAAACTATGTGGTGAGTCTTTAAGAGACAGCATGGTCCAGTGGAAAGGGAATAGGGCTTGGAGTCAAAAGATCCAGGTTTGAGGCCTAGCCCTGATACTGCCTGGGTGACCCTGGCAATTCACTTAACCTCTCTGGATCTCAGTTTCTTTATCTGTAAAATGGCCTTTAAGGGCTCTTTTGTCTTTAAATCTACGAGCCTCTGAGTCTCTAAAATTACTAATCAATGAAGTTTGCTTAAGGAGTTGAAGAATTCCACTTGTTTCTTCTTAAACAGCACCAGATGTCTGTTGGGTATAATATAAATTGTGTTATAGCATGAGATGGGACCTGGAAGGGGACAGCATCACACCACCTGGTTCTGACTGCTGCGGCCTCTCCTGGCTAGTCCATTCCAGAAGCATCAATTGTCAAAGCGGGGCACCTTGGTGATCCTTTCCTCCAGACCCATCTCTCACAGAGGAGAGAGCTGAAGGGCTCTACCCAAGGTCATGCATCTTGTTACCAAAGGGTAGTATTGTAGCAAATGATCAGATTGAAAATAAGTGTTAGAGAAATGTCAGTTATTCCATATTATCATCAGTGGCAGAGAGAGGATGAGCATCAGGGGCTCCCAACAGGCCCTCACCAGCCCGGGATTTCTTTATGACACCCCAAAGTGGCTGCGTCCTGATTTATGTGCTGTGCTGTCCTTGGAGAACTTCCTGGCCTTTGTCTCTCATTTCTGAATGCCTAGAACCTGGATGAGCCCCATCCACTTGGAGGGGATGTTATAGATGGGAATGCACTGTGGAGGGGTAGACTTGCCTTCAGATTCTAGCTCAGCTACTTTACAGGTCTCATGTGACCTTAGACAAGTCACGTCGCTCCCCTCACCTTTTCTTCTTCATCTGTAAAGTGAAGGAGTTGAACTGGATTATCTCTGAGGCCCCTATCAGCTCTGAAGCCTTTGATTCTACATATATTCAAGTAATCAATGAAATAGGCAGAGAGCAGGTAGTACAGTGGATAGAGCGCCAGGCCTGCAGTCCAGCCTCAGATACTTACTAGTTGTGTGACCCTGGGCAAGTCACTTCACCCTGTCTTCCTCAGTTTCTTCAACTGTTAAATGGGGAACATAATAGCATCTATCTCCCAGAGTTGTTGTGAGGATTGAATGAGATCATATTTGTAAAGTGCTGACGTATTGTAGGCACCATATAAATGCTAAGTATTATTATTATTATTATATAATTATTATCTGAGGTTTATAGCTAGATGGAGAAAGTATTTATTAAGCACGTGTTCTATGTGTCAGATCCTGTGCTAGGCTGAAAGTTGTCTGTCATTGGAGAGTTAAGTTTAAGACATTTTGTATGTAGCAAAATACTCTCCGAAAGGGACCGAGATTGTTCAGGTGACATATTAAAGGCACTCAGAAACACCTTTCCTGCTCCTTCTTCTCCCTTTTGGGTTGAGATTCTTGGACTCAGACCCTGGCTCCATCCATGCCCGCCCCCCAGCCCTTCAGGCTCCTCACTGTGGCCTCCCAGGGGACTCTCCTCCCTTTTCCTGCAGCTTTTTGTCTCATCTTCCCTTCATCTTCTTTTCTTATATTCCTATCATCAGTGCCTAGTGTTGTACATAGTAAGTGTTTAAAAAAATGTGCTTTCATTAATGTGACACCAATTCTGGAATGGGCAGGAGTAACTGTCAAAGACATTTTTGACGATTCTGTGCATGGAAGAAGCCACAGGCAGCTCGGCCAGTTTGAACGTCTCATATGGCGTGTTTAAGTTTACCTTTTTGACTTATTCCATCCCACCCTGATCTGCTGGTTTTAAATGGCAGGTACTTGGAGTCTAAACTTGTCTTCAGAGTCTTCTAAGAAATCAGAGCATCTTTTGCATCACATCTTCTGTGATAGAAGACTGTTGGATGCTGAGGGAAGGATCAGTGCTGCTTTTGGAACAATTAGGAATCTTTGGGGAGACTGGTAAAGATGGTAGCATAGGGGGGCCTCCCACAGGTGGGCCTGCAGTTTTGTCATTCTGAGCCCAGGGTGGGATCAAAGATTTAGCCCACTGGAAGGCTCTCCGACTCAGCCCACTGGCACAGGCTAGGGTTGCTCTGGCCTTGGAACAGGGTCTCCGATTCAGCCCAAAGGTGCAGAAAATGGGGTGCGCCGGAAACTCTGTGCCCCAGAGGGAAATCACTGATTTAGGCCACAGATGAGTGACCAGTGCAAGGATTGTGGAAGGGAGAACTTTTATTTGGGGAGAAGTGAGATAAGTGGTTGAAAATTTTAAATGGAAAAAAAGAGCATCCATGAATCATTGTGACAATAAACAGAACATCAGAAAATTCAGAAGGGGTCACAGACATGCAGGGCAATGTTGGAACTGCCGTGGTAAATTTGAAAGATGTTTTTAAAAGCTATATGTAGTGGAGATTTATGATTCACATACAATGCTTTTAGTTAATTTCTGTTCTTTGTCTAGGAAAAGATTCACATTCGTTGATGTGTGTCAGGTTCATAATGGGGAAAAGGGGAAAAAAATGAAAGACTTCAAAGCTCCATCATGAGCAATTATCATTTCAGAAGCCTTACAGTGGAACTTACCTGCTGCCTCTTAGCAAAAGAGGTGATAGGTTTGAGGTGCTGATCAAAACCTGTTTTCAGTCAGGGCCAATGTGTGGGTCTTTTTGCCTGACTATACTGCCTGAAGCAGGACATCCATTCCTTTCCTTCCAACTTTATTCACCATCCTGCTCGCCACAGGGGCTGTTCTAAGCCTTCCTTTCTGTCATCAAACCGTCCATGGCACCTCCTTCCCTCCCCCTCTCAGCTGAAGACATTTCCTCATACCTCACTGAGACGATCCACCAAGTCCCAATGTTCCACTTTTTCCTTATCTCACTTGACTCAACATCTTCCCTTAGTGTTTTCTCCTTCTCTCCTGTCTCTGATGAAGAGGGGACCCTTCTTTCCAAGATAAACCCATCTCTATGCATCCTTCATCCCATCCATTCCTATCTTCTCTATCCCCTTACCGTTATCATCCCTATTGGGCAGTTAGGTGGCACAGTGGATAGAGTGCTGGACCTGGAGTCAGGAAGACTCACCTACCTGAATTCAAATCCAGCCTCAGACACTTCCTAGCTGTGTGACCCTGGGCAGGTCACTTCACCCTCTTCTTCTCAGTTTCCTCATCTGTAAAATGAGCTGAAGAAGGAAATGGCAAACCGCCCCAATATCTTTGCCAGGAAAACCCCAGATGGGGTCACCAAGAATCGGACACGACTGAAAACGACTGAACAGCAGTAACAACAGAAGAAGAAGTTTCTAGTTTCCTACACAATCCTCTTTTCTATAGTTTGTGTATAGAAAGGCTTATGTTTGTTAAGTTCATCATCAAGCTCTCCATAAGCGATAGCTTTTCTGATTGGGGGCAGAGGTTGTATGTGCTATCACCACCTAAAGGATTTCCTTTCCTCGATCCTAGAATGGCTCCTCTTCCTCCAACCCCGACTACATCTAGTGAATGCAAGGAGAAAGTAGACATTGGCCAAATGGGTCAGTCTAACCAGATTGATAAAATCGGTTTGTCATTATCAGAAAAGTTGTAGAAAGCTAGGCCCACTGCTGACGTTCTTGGCCCTACCATCATCACTCTCGTTGGGAATCCACTTTTCTAAATTAGAATCTTTCTCCTTAATACCTAAAAAAGGAAAAGGATGTGCTCATACCCATCACTCCTTTCGTAATCCCCCCAGGATGACTCTTTCATTGGTTTCCTTCTCATGGGTCACTCAGCTGACCCACGTTGTTTCTTGTATGAATCCACAGGAAGTGTCACATCAAATCTCAAAGAGAAACTCCTCCATTGACCAATGGAGGCGTGGTCGTTGGGAACAAAACAGCCCTGTCACTTCCCAAAGTCACTGATGCCTTAACTAGCCCCCCTCCTTCCTCTTAAGTCAGCATTGCTGTATAAAGGACACGGGTATAAATATTTCTTCGGAGGCAGAAAGCCAAAGTAAACCTGGTAGAGCAAGAAAACACTAGTGCATCTCTGAGTGGTGTTTTTTTGGGTGAGAATTGTGAAGAGTTTGCTGGTACTTGAAAAAGACCCACTTTGCCCTCAAAGGTGTCCTTCTGGCCTAATCTCCAGAGCCCTCCTCAGTCTCAAGAACGCAGACTGTGACCTGAGGACCTGGCCATCTTTTCTCCCCTGCTTTTGAGAGAGTTCAGGGCTATGGATGAATTCCATTGGGTTTGACTGTGCTTTCTTATTGCAGTGCAGGATACCCAAGTTCTAGGAAGTTCTTTCTAACTCCTTCCTTATGTTCCTTGGTCAACAGAGGGAAGATGAGCCTTAAGTCTGAACGCAGAGGGATTCACGTGGACCAGTCGGAGCTCCTGTGCAAGAAAGGATGTGGTTATTACGGCAACTCGGCCTGGCAGGGCTTCTGCTCCAAGTGCTGGAGAGAAGAGTATCAGAAGGCCCGGCAGCGGCAGATTCAGGAGGATTGGGAGCTAGCTGAACGGTGAGGGCCCAACGGCTTACTTCACCGTGGGGGTGCTGTGTGTGCTTCTTTCCCTGGGAGCACCACAGTCACGTTTCTTGGGGCCACCTCGGGAGGAGGTGCTGATTGTCAGCAGACTGGGGAAAAGGACGTTTCCCGTCTCTCTTTTTGTTCCTTGTCGGGGCTAATTTAGGCAGGAGTTGATGACTGTGGAACACTTATGATATTCTAGAAATTAGAGACTGTCTGAGCTGATGGGGATCCTACTGCTCATTAAATTTGAGCCCCTCATTTTGCAGATGATGAGACTGAGGGCCGGAGAAGTGAAGGGATCTGCCCCAGTTCCAACAAGTATTATGTGGCAGAGGAGGGTTTGGATTCAGGTCCTTTGATTTTGAGTTCGGTGGTCTTTCTGCTCCCCTCGGCTATCTGTTGTGTTCCCTGATTGTTTCCTGTGCGTGAGTCTTGTTGGAGTAGCTCCACTGTAATCCCCTTGAGGGCAAACATTTATGCTCATCATATCCCGATAACAGATGATCAATATGTATTTTTGGTTAATCTGTAAATTAATCAATAAAATGTGATTGGTTGTTTTGAGACATAGAACCTTTAGACCACAAACAGAGCCTTACCTGAAAAATGATATAGATAATTCAAGGTGGTTTGGGTTCCCCAGTAATGGGATTGTGATAAAATTTGAAAGGTGGGAATACCTAACAAACTGGGCAGATGGATAGAAGGATAGATGGATGGATGGTTAGTGCATATGTGGCAGGCACTCAGCTGAGTGCTGGAGGTGCAAATAAAAGCAAGTAAACTGGTACCTGCCCTTACACTGACATTCTAACAGGAAAGACAACACCTAGAAGGAGAGTGGGAAGGGGTGAGGTGGGGGGAATACTCAAGGCTATGGCTAGAGATGACCTGGAACTCAGCTAGAGAAGGCCAAAGGTGGCCAGCAGAGGCTAGGGCAGGGTTGGGGGGAGGGGCTCCCAGGGCAGAGAGCAATTTTCTGGTGGCAGAGAGCAGATTTCAAGTACAGGTAATAGCTGGACATGTCTGAGAAACACTAGTGGTTTATGACCATAAATTTGTCAGAAATGCTTGTTGGGGCAACCTCTTCCTTGATGCTACATCCTAAGCATCGTTAGGCCATTGCACCAGGATCCCAGATGGCCCTTGAGGCTCTTTACTGACTTTTAAGAGTGAAGCAAATTTCAGGCATTTACTGCGTATCCCGGGGTAGAGGCATAAACTACGTTCCCATCCCTAAACATTTTGTATTCTAATTAAGCAAATGAGCCAAATTCAGTTCACCAAATGTTTCCCAAGCCGCTGCTACCTGGGAGCACCTTGCTGGGTGTTGGGGATCCAGAGGCATCACTCACTGTTCATGGACCAGAGGGCGGCGTGTTGGTGGGTTGTTGTGGTAGGAGAAAGTCTTCCCCAGACCTTTTGGGTAGATTTGGCATCTGCTTCTCAACTCGGGCTCCTCCCCAGATCGTTGAGTTCAGAGGAAATCCTCGTGGACACATGGGAAACCCCTGTCCCTGGAACGCTGTGGTGGACATCTCGGCTGACTTAGCCACGTCTCTCTTGCTGCAGGCTCCAGAGGGAGGAAGAAGAAGCCTTTGCCAGCAGTCAGAGCAGCCAAGGGGCCCAGGCCCTCACCTTTTCCAAATTTGAGGGAAAGAAAACCAACGAGAAGAGCCGCAAGGTGACCACAGTGAAGAAGTTCTTCAGCACCTCCTCCCGAGGCGGCCCCAAGAAAGGTGACTGTGGTGCCCCCCGCCCCCCCCACCCCTGCACAGGCTGGGGGACTGGGCGCCGGGGTGGGTGGGAAGCCTCGGTACACACCCACGAGTAGTTCATTTAGAAGTTTGGGCCTCACAGGGGGTAACATCCCAAGGAGGGAGAATCACCAGAGGAATGGAGATGGAGTAATTTGTATGCAATCCTTGTGTCCTTGGTTGTTTTCTCTGATCTTATCACGGTCTCCCTTCATGGTTCCTTGCCTTGTACACAGCTCATTACAGGGCCCTGTCCCCAGGTTCCTTTTCCCAGGACTGAGCTAATGTCTCCAGACCAAGTCAGCAGGTCTGTGGTGTCTCCATTGCCACTGTACAAACCACCTGGAGCTAGAAAGCGCACCTTCCTTGAAGGGATCCCAGTGTGGAGCTGGTCCTGTTAGAGGAAATTCTAAGATTGGGAGCTAGTGGGGGAATGTCTGCCTAGCTGACTTCCGGAGTGACCTCTGATGTCGCCAGACGAGTGAGCCCCAGGGCCTGAAGGCTCTGCTAGAAAGACTCCCTGTCTTTGGGGCTCAGAACCCGAGGAGCTCCTGGCGAGGGGGAGTGTGGGGCAGCTACGGGGGTATTCCCGAGGTGGTGTTCCTGGCTTCTGCTTCTACTATTTCTGAGTAACTGTTCACTTCTGAGTAGCGCACTTCAAGAAGGTTTTCCATTCTTAGAAGCCCAGGGGAGAGTCTAGAGTCTACCCAGAGTCTGGCCTGAGGGCAAGGGAATGAATGAAATACATCCTCAAGTCCTTGCTGCTCCTAGGTTTCAGGGAGCATGTTGCTATTTTTCTCATGAAGAGGAAAATTCGCTTTCAACTAAAACATAGCCTGTTTTAAAAGCCTGTCCTCTGTATGATTTGAATGCCCATCACTTGCCTGGTTCCCTGCCTTTTATTCCAGGTGATATATTGGTAATCTGTAGGAGGGAGTCTGTATCTCCAGTGTCTGAGTGAAGATTGCTTTTCTGATAGACTGAATCACTGGGACGGGCACAGCTCTGGGGGACACTTGAGCCCTTTCTCTGGAGTCATTTTGTCTACTCTTGAGTAGAATTGAGAATTGGTGAAATCAGGCTATGTTGTGTAAGCCAGGTAAGGAGGCAGTGGCCACAGTGTTTGAGGCTGGAGACAAGTTTAAGGGGTCTTGGACTTTCCAAGCCAGGAGAGGGCTTTGGGATCATCTGGGAAGCTCCATTTTACAGAGCAGAAGAAGCTCGATGTGTTGTTGGTCATTAGGAACGGACCTGCTGGGATTTGAACCCAGAGCTCTTGGGCCCACATGCTCTCACCAAACTGCCGCTAATGCGTGTCTGATGTCGAAATCCCCACGTGCAGCTCCAGACTTAGAGTCTGCTTTTTTGCTGACGTGTTTACTGGCCATGTGTCCAGGCTGTCCTCTGGGATTTAAAAACAGTGCATGGTGAAGGACTTTTAGGAAGCATGTCAAGTATGTTATGTAAAGAGCACAGAGCTTGCTTTCTTTCTTTCTAATTTTTTTTTTTTAATAAAACTCCTCTTTGTGTTTTAGATCTTGAAGCTTTTGCATGGAATAAATATCTTTTTGTTTATAAATGAGAGTCTTCCTACTTCCATGAGTTTATAGAAAGCTGGACTGACAGAAGACGCCTTAGAAATCGTATTTTTAAAAACGATTTTTGTGTGTATTTCCACTTCCAAAGGGGCTTCTTTTGGCCCACATCAGTTGGGATGCTTCCTGAGCGCCCCACTGATTCAGACGCCCAGCACAGCACCCTGCCCCGGTCTGGCTGCCTTGGCTGGGCTCTTCAGCCCCAGGCACATTGCTTCTCACGTCCTGGCTTCCTCTTTTTCATTCCCCCATTGCTTGGTTTTTTTGCTTTGGGTGTTTTTCTTGCTCCTGCATTTATTTCAGTGGCTCAAGAGAAAACTCTTAAGCAAGGACAGCTTGGGAGGGAGTGAAACGCTGATAACCTGCTCAGGGACTTGAAGGAGATGTTCGCTCCTGTCTGGGGGCTGGCCTCGCCTTCTGAAGGTAACCTTGCGCAGGCCCGCCTGGCACTGTCCGCTTAGGTTGAGTGAGCTCACTTAGTTGACTTTGCAGTCTGCAAACTAAGGTTGTGCCAGCTCTGACTCCTGCACCTGGGGAGGGGTGGGATTTTCCCAAACCCCGCCTTGAATACTTTCTTTAAGTGACTTCAGAATGTCCCTTTAAACTCCATTGCTTTAGATCTCAAAAGCAGTCAGTACAAAGAACTTTACATGTGCCTAGTGTGATTTGATAGTTCAATAAAGTCATTGGATATGCAGAAACAGTGCTCCAAAGCCCTTTTCTTCAGGACTAAAATCTTTCATTCTTGGTTATGTTTTTACACACACACACACACACACACACACACACACACACACACACACACATCTTTTTTTTTTTTAAAGAACTCTGCATGGCTTGAAGATATGCATGTGGGCTTTCTTTGTTCTGTGGCTAAACAACTCTGAAGTATGTACGCAGGGGAGTGTCAATATCACATGTTAGAAATGACCAAAATATGCCTTTGGGCGTGGGTTAACTCAGGAAAATCATAAGGGGAAAATGTCTAAATGTGAGCGAGATGGGAGGTCTAAAAGTCACATTGAAAAACCTGAAAGCTCTCTCTTTGCACACTTGTGCACAAGTGCCTGGGTGAAAGTACCTCGTTTGTGTCAGGAGCATGGGCAGTATGTAGCTGTGGCTGCTGAGGCCTCCTGGAATCCGGATCCCTGCAGTGGCACAACCCTAGTTGCAAGCTTGAAAGCTTCTGTCCTTGCTCTGACATCCTTTTCCTACATAGAGGGGTCTTGCTGGGATATTGGGGTGGCAGTGGGGTGGGGCACTAGACTAGCCCTGGCCTGGCTTGTCCTTGTCAAATGGGGCCTTTCCTCCTGTCCCCTTTTCCTGGTTCCTTCCTAACTTAGCCTTCCTCGGCCCTTGGGTTGAATGATCCTATTGGGGGGGCCCTCTCAGACTTGCTTTGCTTAGGCAACAAGCTCAGCTTCCATGTATAGCACAGCACTGGCAATGTTTGTGTACTGATTTTGAATTTGAAAAGACTGCAGGATTCATCTATTGGATTTTCTAATCCTGGGAATGGGATACTTAAAACTTCAGACTAGCTGCTTCAGTGTGGGCACTGTTGTCCCCTAGGGCCCACAGGATTCTTTTCAGTGGCCTACTGGCAGGCAGTTTCCACTAGAGCCCTAGGCAAAATTGCAAAATGAGTGTTTCTGTTTTGTTGTTTTTTTTTTCCTCTCCCATCTTCTTATGGACTCGTCGTTCTTCCTTTCCACTGCAAGGCCATTACTGGGCTGTCCCCCTCCCAAGTTCCCTCTGTTCCATATTTTGTTCTATGATTTCCCTTCCCCATCCTCCAATCAAAATTCTCATTCCTCTAGGAGAAGATGACTTCAGTTGGAAGGAAAAAAATGACTAAACAATTTTAGAGTAATTCACACTAAGGTACCAATGACTGGCTTAACCACCGTAGGAGGTATTTGCATTTAAAAAGTAAAACTTGTTAATTCAAAATATCCTCAAATTGGGGAAGTGTTTGGGGAGATAGAGGTCCTGTAGCCCTATGGCTTGGACTTAGTAGGCAGCTTAAAATATGTATTGAATTTGAACATTTTTGCCATCTGGTACCTGCCATCCCCTTATGCAGTGATCACAGAAGGAACAGTGATCAGCAGCTTGACATCTCGCTTCTGAGAAGTTGCCACTTGTTCTGTGTAGCCATCTCATTTGAGCCTCACGAGAGCCCGGGGAGCTAGGTACTTTAAATTTTATTCTTTTGTGGAGGAGCCTGAGAAGAAGTGAGTTGGCCAAGGTCAGGGTGTCAGGCTTAGGTTTTCCTTGCCTCTCTTTCCAAGTTATTTAAATTCTCTGAGCCTCAGTTTCTTCATCCATGAAATGAGAGAGTTGGGTTTCCTGATCTTTAAGATCTCTCCTTGCTCTGACTCTGGTCCTCAGATTTCTTCTGAAATGTGTTGGATTAGAAGGAAGCTTAACTTCTTAAGCTCATAATATTCTTTCAAGCTTTTCAGGGAGATCAGAAAAATCACTTTTCAAAAGAGAATGTGCCATTTACCTTTTTACTATCAAATTGTGATTTAAAATCACGTGAAAATTTTGTTCTAAGTCAAATCGAAAGATACCCATAAAAACACGCTTTCTTTCTGCTGTATTTTCTACTACCTGGGAAAACTTGACCCTGCTGCTTTAACATGAGAAAGATTGAAGATGACACGAGCTAGTGCTGTATCATCTTAATTGCCAGTTAATACCCTACCAGGGGAGAGGTAGATTTCTCAATTTGATAGCTCCAGTTATTAGAGTGTATCCTCCTCCAGCTAGCTGGCACATGATTCCTTCATTGAATAAATTAATCACTCTAATTGGGATATTGAGTTTTATCATCTTAAACCTTTATTGAGTTTAGTTACATGAGTTTTATGCATAAAATCCAAAGATGTTAATACTGAGACAGTTGGGTAATACTGAGATGGAGTAGGTTGATTTTGTTTCTTCCGTTTCCTTTGTGAGTTTATTATTTTTCTTCCTGGATGAGAGAGACTTCTAAGATTGCAGATGGATGTCCCTAGTTACCAGGAATGGTTCCTCTACATTTGGAGTGGGGTGGAAGCTGCAGAATTCCATTGGGAAGGCTCACAAGGCCCAGCAAGATCCGGCACCTGAGATTTGGGCAAGAGGGAGTCCTTTTTCTTTGAAAGAGCTCTAACTTGTCCTTTATCCATGTCTGCCACTATAAAATCAGTCCTTTTTCTGCAGGTGGAAGTGGATTTGTTTTGTGGGGTGGGAGAGGGGAGCAGTTGCTGTTTGGAATGGGCTGATTGGAGAATGTTTTCCATCCCTCCCCAGCCCCCCAATCTCTCCTTATGTTCCATCATGTTCATGTACATCAGTCATTGAATGGATCTGAGAGGTGGGTGAGCTCATTTGAGAATTCCCTGGTTTAAATCTAGTGTCTTCCTTTCTGCCAGGAATGGGGTAGGGTGGGATGGCTTGTGGGTGCTGAGAGAGGCCAGGGTGGCCCAATCATGTCTTAAACTACCCACAATTCTCTCGAGTCCTTATGCACATCTGCCTGCTGTCAGTTTGCCCATTGACTATTTTGTGAACTCCTGTTCTTTTGAACCCTCAGTTCAGCGTGAGCGATGAAAGGCACCAGGCAGAGCATCCCAGTGATCTCGGCATGGTGCCTCGCCCATGGTGGGGCTGGAGCCCTAACACTGCCCGGCAGCAGCTTGTCCTTGGGTCTGAACACTCCACAGTGTGCTTTCGTGAAGAGAGGTGCTCGCTCCTTGTTTGTGGAAGCTCAGCTGGGTTTAGACAAGGTGTCTGATGTGTAGACGTCAAGTGGTCTTAATTCCATTTTAACCTGGGTTATAAATAACTCCAGTGGCCTTAAATTGCAGGCTTTAAACCGTGACTTGCATGGATCGTTTCACTTGACGAGCCTGACGATGTTTGCTTTTCCTGCAGAGATTCAAGAGGCCAAAGCCGCGAGCCCTTCCATAAACCGGCAGGCCAGCCTGGAGACAGACAGGGTGTCCAAGGAGTTCATAGAATTTCTCAAGACCTTCCACAAAACAGGCCAGGAGATCTACAAGCAGACCAAAAGCTTTTTGGAAGTCATGTATCACAAAAGGGTAGGTGACCGGCAGTCACAATAGGGCACGTTGAATGTTGGAACTGAAAGGGACCTCATGTTCCAGATGAGGAAACTTGGGCCGGGTGAAGGTGCCCATGGCAGAGAGAGAGCCGGGGCCCTGGTATTCTTTCTCGAATCCTCCCCAGCCTGCTTCTAGAGTTCATTTGGGTCCCATGTTAGCCTGGGCTACCCAACAGTGCGGTCACTGGGCCGAGGTGTGTCCATGGCAGGCTCCAGACAGACCTTTGTGGCCTGTGCTCCCATGCCCATCCGTCGGGTCCTCAGAGCCTGTGACGGTCCTAGGCGGTGGCAGGCCAGGAGCAGAAAAGTGATTCTTCCTTTATAGACTTCTTTCCATAGTACCGACTGGGAACCCTGGCAGAACAGGCAGGTCACACTTTGCTCTAGATCTCCAAAGTCCTTGAGGGCTCATTTGGCCCAGAAGAAGAAGTGGCTGAGGCCCAGAGAAGGGACTTGTGTCTCTGGTCACTGACTGAACCCAAGCAAGCTCCCAGGGGACCTGGGGGGTACAAGGAGAAGAACCAGGGAGATGCACACGTGGCCGCTCTGCTGCTCGGCCTGGTTTGGGATGCCCAGTAAGTCAGAAGGAACGTCTGCCAGGCCCTTGGCTGCCCCAGGCCTGGAATGCTGTGCCCTTGGGGCTCGGCTCCAGGGCTGCCTCCCTGCCTTCTTCCCTCTGAAGGCTGCTCCAGTTTCTATTCCCCCCCACCCATTTGTCTCTGAATTCAGTGTGCATGGAGCCTGTATTTATTTATCTGTAAACATGGCGTTGTCCCCTCCCTTTAGTGTCTGCTCCCGGCACCTGGCAGGGATCTGGCACTCAGGAAACACTGAACAGATAACCGTTCAGTTTTTCCATGTGGCCCTTGGCATCACTCTCTGCCCGGTGAACTGGCAGTGATCTGGCTCCCTCAGCTGTGTTTATCAGACGGCGCCACCTCGGTTTACCTCCCGTGAGCCGGCTGTCAGCAGGCTGGTGCCTGACTCCGCTGCGGCTGATGTTTCCTCCCTCTTCCTTAGTAATTATTGAGTTTAGGGGAGGGGCCTCTGGGAGAAAACTGGTTGGGGGAGGGGGTAGGGAAGAGGAGGTTCTGGGCTTTCCTGCAGGCCAGAGATGCGTCACGGAGGATGCTTTGGTGTGTGCCTGCCTTTTCTGGAGTATTCCTGCCCTAGCTTTGAAGGCAGTGGTTCCCCTTGGTGTCCGTCCGAAGCCATGAGGCAGTGGCTATCACAGGAAGCGACATTTATACACAAACTCCCTGACCAGCAAGCTCTGCACTCCCCTCACATGGCCATGGCAGCGTCGAGAGGACGGCTGGGGTGGGTTCTGCCGTTGTCAGGGACTTCTTTGCCTCCTCAGACTGGCGGTCACGGTTATTGGAGGCCGTGCTGCTGGCCTGGTCTGATCGTGTGTCATCTGAACTCTTGTAGGAGCTGAGTATCGAGGAGCAGTCGGAATGCATGCAGGACTTTTACCAGAATGTGGCCGAGAGGCTGCAGACCCGGGGGAAAGGTAACAGACCGCTTCTGGCTCTGTCCTCCCACGTTGGCTGACACCGGGGGGAGGGGGAGCGCCCGCGGAGCACTATGGCGGCAGCCACGAGCTCTTCTTCCTGCTCACGCAGAAGCTGCTGTTGCTTCCTGGGTCAGTCCTGGGGCATCGCCACATGAACTTGGTCCAGGACAGCCACATTTATCACTTGATCATAGTAAACAGGTGGAAGAGAAATGAATTGATCACAAAGCAATTCATATGGCTATGACGTTTGTTGAGTTAGTGTGTACTTAGAACATGTGCTGGTCTCCCAAGACGGCACACATTCTGGACCTTTGCCCCGGGGAGATGAGAGGAGGAGCCCAGGCTCAGTGCCGGCATTTCTTCTGCCAGCTGTGATGTTTCTCTTAAGCAGGGTGGGTAGCTCCCTGCATTGAATTCTGGGCACCAAGCCCAGCTATTGATAGGGGTTTGAGCGTACCCTCAGACCAGACTCTATCCTATGTTCATCTCTTTCTAAACCCACAAATCAAAACAGGCCAAGCCAGGAAGAGAATCACCCTAAAAATCAGTATTAAGAGCTCAGGTCATTTAAAGAAGGAAAGCACACACACGTGTGTCTAGGCGTGTGTGTGTGTGTGTGTGTGCACATGTTCACTTGGTTTTACTTGTGCTTCATCTTTAATATTACTCTATGGTTACACCGGGTTGGTGATAACATGGCGTTTTTAGCTACTGAGGGAAGCTAACAAAAAGGCCTCAGCTTGCCCTGGGGTTTCCTAATAGATGTGAACATGTGTATTTCCCAGTGCCCCCAGAGAAGATGGAGAAGGTAATGGATCAGATCGAGAAGTACGTCATGACACGCCTGTACAAGTATGTGTTTTGTCCGGAAACCACCGACGATGAGAAGAAGGATCTGGCCGTTCAGAAGCGGATCAGGTGGGTGCCTCTTACCTTATTCTGGTCTGAGGAAAAATCTGAGGTGGGAGAGGGCACTGAGGCTCTGAGAATGACCTCGAGTCAAGAGGGAAAGTGCCGAGCGGCAGAGGCTGTGCTTTCCCTGCCCTGGCTCGCTGTGAGGGAAGACCTTTGTAGCTTCATGTTGAAGGCCTTCTGAAGTAAAATCACAGCCGTGATGGAAGTCTAAAGGTAGGGGCAGGGGCCCCTCAGCTCATCCTTCTGGGGCTGGGGATTGCCTCAATCATGCAGTGAGTGACTCTCCTAGGAGGAAGGTGTCTTGGTCTCCCATTCTAGTGTCTTAATCCCAACTCCCAGAAATCTCCCTCTAATGTCAGGTCTACACTACACCCCCTGAAAACTTAAAATGGAGAGAGGCCATCAAGTCCACAATCTGTGAACTTGTTTGCGAAGCACTGTGATCATTGCATTCCAGTATAGCTGGTTTTCTTAGTAATCCCATGTATTTTACTTTACCCATTTCAAACCATTATTCTGAGAAGAGGTCCACGGGCTTCACTGTACTGATTGCTGAAGGGAGTCCGTGGCGCCGAACAGATGAGGAACCTCTGGTTTGGCCTGGCCTCATCATTTTAGAGGGGAGGAATCCAGGCCCCCAAAGTCCCAAGAGTGTGCCTCATGTTGGCACACTGCTAGGGGAGGCCGAACTGGCTTTAGAATCCATGTCTTCTGCGTGCTGGGCCTGCGTTCTTTCAGTTAACTGTGAGAATCCCAGTGTTATCACACCTGTCAGCCTCCTCTGGGATAATTTCATTTCATCATGTTGACATTTCTTATTTTAGTTGGTGGACTTGGTATTTTAAGTACCCTGGTGGGAATACCAGTTGGTCAGATAACAAATAATTATTGAGCATATACATTGTGCAAGACTCTGGGTTTGGTTCCAGGATTTCCTAATTAGACAGGTTAGCCCCTTACTTTTCCTTAACTGAAGCAACTGGCAGGCTCAGTTGCCCACATAGATACTTAAGAAATTTCTTGATTGGCATGGCAAATTACTATTAATTTCTTCTTTTTATAGAGCCTTGCACTGGGTTACTCCACAAATGCTTTGTGTCCCTGTTAATGAAGAAATCCCAGAAGTCTCTGATATGGTAGTAAAAGCCATTACAGGTCAGTGAAAGAGATCTAAGGGTTGGCTTGTTGGGGAGGGAGGGAATTTTTTTTAGGCTCCTGTTGTAGGGCTAGAGTAATTCACGTTCTTCCTTATGGGGAGTGAGGCCCGAGACTGGAATGTGGTGAGGCTGATATGCTGGAGGTCCCTGACCATTGGAAGGCACGCCCCTGAGTCTCAGTCTTCAGTGCCTGAGGTCCCCACTTCTTTCTTGTCCATTGAACTAAACACCTGGTAAATGTGGGCTCTCACGACTTGGTGCCATGATCAGGGCACTCAGGCTGCTCAGCTGCCCCACATAATGTGGGCTGGTATTCCTGGGGACATGCACATTGCAGCAAGGTCATCTTCACGAGAGCAGATGCTGCTTCTCACTCTTGTCAGGAGGATGTGCACATGGCATCCTTTTTGCAGTAGCGGTTCCCGGTTGTGATAAGCCATCCCAGTCTTTCTCAGTCCTTTTGGGGGTGCCATTTGTGGCAGCAAAGCAGAAATTGCCCTCCAAGTGCAGCCAACAAGTCCACATAGGAATTGAGCCCATGATCCTGGCTTTCCTACTGACCCCATGCTTCACACCACCGAGTTCACCAATCCAGACCAGTCTTCCCAAAGTCATCAAGGCCTCTTTTTCTTTTGTTTGTTACATATTGAAATAAATATTCGTGTTTGTTGAAGTTAAGTTCATAGTGGAGAAAAAAGGAAAAAAACATTTAAAGTTCTATTTTAAGTGTTTAGAGACAGCACAGTGACATACCTACTCCACTGGGCTCTTTGCCAGTTTAGATCTGAATGGTTTGATTGCTGAACAAGGATTTTTATTTTGTGGTTGGATTCTGTTCTCAAATGTAGACTACTTTGCTTTAGGTAGTAGCTATGTGGAAGGGGAGCATATGTAAATTGAATAGCTGTCCAATACAATGTGGGCTGGTACACCTGAGTGCAGCCCAGCTGACTTTCTGACTTTGATCTGTGGACAGGATGCCACTTCCCTTTTGTCGGGGGACATGTGCTTTGGATTCTGAGCATTGGATGCATTAGAAGAGCTCCTTAGTTAAAGGAATCTCCTTAACAACAAGGAGCTTTAACTGGCAATTAATTCTTTTAGAGCAAATGATTGTCTCCTAACTTTTCTAGATTTTCACTCACTGGGTTTTGTTTGAAGTGGGGTGAGCTTGGGACAACATGTAAATCCTACGGGAATCTCTTGATTGGAGGCAACCTCTTTTCTGCTCTGTAGACATTATTGAGATGGATTCCAAGCGTGTCCCCCGAGACAAGCTGGCCTGCATCACCAAATGCAGCAAACACATCTTCAATGCTATTAAGATCACCAAGAATGAGCCAGCATCTGCCGACGACTTCTTACCTACCCTCATCTACATTGTTCTGAAGGGCAACCCGCCACGCCTTCAATCCAACATCCAGTATATCACTCGTTTCTGTAATCCAAGCCGATTGATGACCGGGGAGGACGGCTACTACTTTACCAACTTGGTAGGTGTTTGGCTTGTGTTTCTCTCAGTGCTATAGACTGGGTCGGGCACTTAGTCTGGTTGAGAGATCCGCCAGAGGACCCCCATGAGCTGGGTGGAAACCCTCAACATTTCTTATGGGGAGGTCATAACCCAGGCCTCTCTTGACCAATAGTTTACCACTAACTCAATAATAGAGATTTCCCCCGCCTCCATCTACACCTCCTCATCCACTATTCAGCCAGAGCTAATGTGGTTGGTGATGCTTAGTCCCCATAGGGTTGGCAAGGGTGCAGAGTAGTGGTAGCCTCACCCATTGCTACCTCATTCAGTCCATTTCATAGAGCCATTAAATTAGGCCATGCTTCTTGAGTTGAGGGGGCTGTGTTCCAACAACAGTAGGGCAAATCTTGGACCACAGTTTAGGGAAAATTGGGGTTAATTTTTTTATGCTCTTCCTCAAGGTGACAGTTTGAGCAGAGATTCTGTTTAAAGAACAAAACCAAATAACATCCCAGTTGAGAATTAGGAAGAGGTGAGCTTGTTTTCCCCCACTGAGAGCCTCATTGTTTGGGTTATTACTGATTCTTAGAAGGACAGTTAAATTTGTTCCCATCTCTGTTTTATTTTAACATTACAGTATTATCTATAACAGGGCTTCTTAAACTTTTTCCATTTGCAACCCCTTCAGTGTTTCCCCATGAGGTCACAACCCACAGTTTTAAGAAGCACTGATCTATAATATACATTATGTTATTTTATACATATGTGTGTATATAATACTAGCACACATAGTAGTAGGTGATTGAAAATCAGGTGCGGCAGGAGGATTGGGGGCCACATATCCTCAGGGCATGTACCAAAACGCCAGTCTTGGGGTCCTGTGCTCAGCTGGCCTTAGCAAAGCAGGTAGTTCTGTTTCCTTCTCAGCCCTTGGCTCTTGGGACTGCAGTCTGCAAAAGGAGAGTGGGCTGGAATGGAATCAGATCACTCCTCTTCTTCTCTTGAGTTTCATCTACGCCAGTTTCTTTAAAATGGGAATGAAAATGTATATTGCATTCCACTAACAACAGGCAGATCTCATCTATGCATGGACAGTGGTGGTTCAGAGGTTTGGTTCTCACCCTGTAGGGTTAAAGTCTGGGGGAAGGAAGAGAAAACCAGGGAATTCTGCAGGATTTGGAGGTTAAGAGGCTACGGCTGGTGCTGGGAGTCTCCTAGGAATAGAGGACCAAGATTCTTGAGGAAAAGAGGAGCTGAGCAGGACTTCTTGGATCCCGAGCAAGGATTTTTCAGAGAATTAGCCCTTCCATTTCCTATCATCATGGAGCCTCCTCATTGCAGCCTTCTCCCTCCCTCCTGTCACGGAGAAGACCCCACATCAGAGGGGGTTCTGACTCACTGCTTGGGCCCATGGTCACTCTCTCTCTCTCTCTCTCCTTTTGTAGTGCTGTGCAGTGGCTTTCATTGAGAAACTGGATGCTCAGTCCTTGAATTTAAGTCAGGAGGACTTTGATCGCTACATGTCGGGCCAGACCTCTCCCAAGAAGCAAGAGTCTGAGCCCTGGGCTCCCGATGCCTGCCTTGGGGTGAGACAGATGTATAAGAACTTAGATCTCCTCTCTCAGCTGAATGAGCGACAAGAAAGGCTCATGAGCCAGGCCAAGAAGCTGGAAAAAGACCTCATCGACTGGACTGATGGAATTGCAAAGGAGGTTCAGGATATTGTGGAGAAATATCCCCTGGACCTCAAGCCCCCAAGCCAACCTTTAGCAGCCATTGACTCAGAGAATGTCGAAAATGACAAACTGCCCCCGCCTCTGCAGCCGCAGGTCTATGCAGGATGATGCCCCTTTACCCGGGAAGTGTTGGCTGGGACCTAGACCCAAGTTAGGTTGTACGACTCACTTCCTGCTGATTGGAAGCCAGCAGAGAAGGAAGGACATACTTAGGAGGGTTAAGGAAGTACATTTTTCAAGGTACAGTTGGGGGGGCAGGTTAATGTGTAATAAATACTATTTATTTTAGTTATTAAAGTAGGTTCTTATGAGGCTTTTGTGTATTTTTTTAACTGAACCTGCCTTTTCTACACAAAGCCGTTGTCATTTTTAAGAAACACTAGCATCATTAACAGATTTTTCTTACTGCTTCCTCCCAGGCATGCACTATGATTTGGTTTTGGTTAAATCATTACTTTAAATGTAAGAGGACTAGGGCAAGGTCACATGTGTTCAAGAGAGAACCTAATGGTACTACTGTGTCCCCATGTTTGAGATTATTTTGTAATTACAAAGATGGAAAATATATTGATGAGTAAATATGTAGAACTGTAAATATGTAAAGAAAATTGGTACTTCTGCTGTGCATGGCAACGTGTGAGTTTCTGTTCTTCGTGCAAAGTGATGGATGACTGTCTGGCTTTTTAACACCCACCGATCACTTTTTGTTCAGCTCTCTTCAGTGAGCCTGGCAGAACTGAGATGTCCAGGTGTCCAAGACTGGCTTGTTTTTGTAGCACGCTGCGTGTGCTAACTTTATAATTCTGCCAGCCAGGACTGGGACCTTATCGGGGAATGGATTGTTTTCACCTTACATCATTTCTCTGTTTGTTACGTAGACTGTCAAAAACCTTGAACCATGCTGGTGCCCCACCCTTTAGACGAGCCCATCTTTGTGTGAGTCTCCTTTGCTCGGGGCCCTTGATGAGTGGAGGCAGTAGGCCCAGGGCTTGGGTTACAGTGGTGAATGGTGTGGGGACGGGGATGGCCGGGGGTGGGGCAGTACCGCAGATCGGTAGATGTTAAGGGTGCCTCTGGCCCAGGGCAGAAGTGGTCACGATCTCAACCTGCACAGAACACTTCCATTGTCACACTTATTGAGCCAGGCTTGTCATTTGGGCCTGGGCATTGTTATCATGGACCGACCGAGACGGCTGTCCTGCACTCCTTGTTTTATGAACGAGAAAGCAGAGACCTCACCCTCCGTGTCATCCACTACGTCGACCACCGAATGGTACATTCCAGGCACTGGGTGTCTCAGCCTGGCAGTTTTGCTGTTTTGTGAAACTCTGTGAGACCTCCACAGGATGGAGGCCGTATTCCAATGGAATGTCTTCTGTCTTCTTCTCAATCCTTCTCCGGAGTAAGATGCAGCAGGACTCTTCTGTGTACCTGTAACATCCACCACGCTGTCCGAAGGCAGCCTTCTGGAGCGATGACGTGTCACACCATCATTACCAAAGGCTCCCTTCTTCTCCCACAGACTCTCTAACTAGCACAACTCCCAAGTGCGCCCTGAAGTGACTTCAGGCTTCTGTGGGGAGGTGTCGGTTCCCCCTGCCACTACTTGTAGAAGCTGCCCCCCCATCCCCGGGTGCACAGCTTGTCCCAACGAGGACTGGTCCCTGTAAATGCTCCAGTAGATGAAGCAGTTAACTCAGTGGCTGAGTAGCTTTTAGCTAATGTGTGACTCAGATGATTCTTTGCAGGGAGGCTTCTTTTCCTGTAGGGTGTTCATTTCCTCACATTCTCTAGGTGCTAATCCAGGTACACGCACAGTCTCACTTTCCCACAAATGTACAAAGATTCTTACTGCTGTACACTGCTTTTGTAGAATAAAAACATGGACATCGTCCTCTCATGAAGGCTGAATTCTTTCAGTGTCTTGCCTGTCAATAAAGTGGGTTGTGACATGGATCCATGTCACTTACACCTGTCCTTGGTCAGATAGAGGAGCCCCTGCTCTCTGTTCCGGCCAACATTTTTGTCTTGTACCCACCCCTGTACTTGGATATTGGCGGAACGCTGCTGTGATTGCAGCGGCCTCATGACTGCATTCCTGGGTTCTGCTTTCTCCCCTTTCAAATCCATCTTCCATAAAGTTGCCAAAATAATCTTCTCATAGCATCAGTCGGACCAGACCATTCCCCTGCTCAAAGACCTCTAGGATAAAATACAATTTCCTTCTGTTAGCATTTAAAGTTCTTCCTGATCTGGCTTCAGCCTCACCTTCTTAGGCTTATTTCATGTTAATTCCCTTCCCTAGCTCCACATCCCAGGCTGACTCGATTCTGTCTCTTGCCACGTGCCTTTGTCTAGCAGGAGTGGGGAACCTACACGCGGCCTTCTTTTATTAAAGGGATTTGTTCCTCGAAGTTTGGATTCATTCAGAGGACCACAGGCTCCCCACTCCAGAGCTGTCCTCCCTGGTGGGAACACTCTCCTTCCTCATCTTTGCCTCTTAGAAAGAATCCGTAAGCTTCTTTCAAGGCTCAGCTCAGGTGCCACCTCTTACAGGAAGCCTTTCTTAATACCCCAAGACACTAAATTGGTTTGGGGGCAGGTGGCAAGTTTGCAGACTAGCCCCTTGAATAGGTTTCTGTTAGTGCAGTGCCTGGCACATAGTAGGTGCTTAATAAATGATGATTGATTGTATAATCTGTAACCAACAAAAGCGCGTTACTCCTGTGATTCATACGCTCTTTTCAAAAGACAAGGCATTTAGGGACTGTGTATACAGGGGCAGCAATCAGTTCTGTAGTATGAGATACACCACCCAAAGTGGTCACTCTGCATGGAGACTCACAGCAATTCTTATGGTACAGAGTATTTTCAAAGGAATCCACTTGTGAAAGCGGTTGCCCAGTAAGGCCATCATTGTTGCCAAAACAATAGGAATCAACTCTCATTCCTTAACCAAAGTCCCATAAAATAAGAAGAAATCTAGTTTCCTGTATTTGGAGGGCAGCCAGAGACTGGTAAGCCTCTTCAGAAGCAAGTAAAGGCACCCAGCCTTTAATATGTATTAAACAGACAAACAAAAACCCTACCACTGTGATGGCACTGATTGGCATTGAGGGCATTGGCTAGGACCTATGAGCAGTGTTGTGTGGACACTGGGTGTAGCCAACTGCAAATTTAGGTTACTTAGTCCTGACTGAGCTCTCAGGACAGCAAGGCAATCCTTTTGCTCCTGCCTGATTGATTCTCTGTTGTGCTCTCCAGAGAAGCAATTCCAGACATCTTTTCTTTTCAAGCCTCCCATGCCCTCCCTCTGAATTGAGTCCTCACTTCATGCTTTGCTGAGGAAATAGAGGCTATGGGCTCCCTCTTCTCCCCTTCTCTATACCTCATCATTTCTTTACATACATCATCTTCCATCTTCTCCTTTACTCCAGTATTTGATGAAGTGACCTTCTCTTTGCCACGGCCAGATCCTCTGTATGCACCCTTGGTCTCATCCCCTTTAATCTTTTCCAGCAAATTGCACCCGCCACCCCTAAACGTCCTCTCTAATTTTCCCTATCTACTGACTTCAAACCTGCTCAGGTCTTCCCCCATCTTGAAAAAACTCACTGGACTCTATCATTCTTAATAGCTTAAGGCTATTAGCCTATATTTCTTCTCCCTTTCATGGCCAGCCTCCTAGGAAAAAACTGTCCAATGCACTTTACCTCTACATCCTTATCCCTTTCTCTCCTCCCAACCCTTTGCAGTCTGCCTTTTGACCTTATCACTCAACTGAAACTGCCCTGTCCAAAATTGCCAATGATTTCCTAATTGCCACATCTGATGGCCTTTTTTTTTTCAGCCTTCATCCATCTACAGCATTTGCTACTCTTGCCAGCCCTCTCCTCCTGTGTTCTCTCTAGGTTTTCATGGCACTGCCCTCTGGTTCTTCTACACATTCTGACCACTCCTGCATCCCCTTTGCCGAATGATCATCCTTGTCAAATCCACTGATTACTAGTGCACCCCAAGGCTCTGTCCTAGGCCCTCTTCTTTCTCTCTGTGCCCTTCTCATCAGCTCCCATGGATTTTATTGTCACCTTCCACAGGTGACTTCCCAGGTCTACAAATCCATCCTAACCTCTTTCTTGAACGCTAATCACACATCTCCAGCTGCCTACTGGACGTTGCAAACTGGGTGCTCCTCAGGAATCTCAAATGCAGCCCATCCAAATTTGAACTCAGTCTTCTTTCCCTCAACACCTATCCCTCTTCCAGATTTTCCTGTTTCGGTTATTCTTCCAGCCATCCAGGGTCACACCATCACCCTCAACACTTCACTCTCCTTTGGCCCCGTGTATCTGATCAGTTACAAAATCTTGTTTCTCCCTCCACGACATTTCTCACATCTCTCCCCTTCTCCCCACTCACAACAACCACCACCACCTTTGTCCAGGCCTCATTGCCTTTCACCTGGGCTATTTCGGTAGCTTCTTAGGTGGTTTTCCTGTTCCAAGTCTCACCCTCTCTTTAATCCATTGGAGGACTGGAAATGCTCAAGTGATTTTCCTTAAGTACAGATCTGATGAGGTCACTCCCCAACCCAAAAAACTACAATAACTTCCTATTGCCTTTGGGATCAAGTAGAAATCCTCTGGCTTTTAAAGCCCTTAGCAACCTGGCCCAAATCTACCTTTCCAACTTTGTTATCTGTTATTCCTCTTCCTGCAGATAGGTGGTCCAGTGAATAGAGTGCTGGGCCCAGAGTTAGGAAGACCTGTGTTCCAATCCTGCTTTAGATACTGGTTTTGTGACCCTGAGCAAGTCATAACCTCTTTCTGCCCCAATTTCCTCAACTGTAAAACAAGGATAATAATAGCACTTATTTCCCAGGGTGGTTGTGAGGATCAAGTGAGGTATTTGTAAAGTGCTTAGCACAATGCCTGGCACATGGTAGGTGCTTAATAAATGCTTGTTTCCTTCCTTCCTGTCCTCTGTGGTCCAGCATAACTGACCTTTTTGCTGCTTCTGATACATGACTCAACATTTCTTGTCTCTGTCCCCTTGCAGTGGCCATCTCCCGTGCCTCTATTGGGAATCTTCCACACCTGTTTCATAAACTCCCTTACTTCCTTCAAAACTCATTTCCAATGTCACCTCCAACATGAAGCCTTTCCTGATTGCCCCCAAGCTACTAAAGTGTGCCTTCCTCCTCCAAGTACCTGGCATTTCTTTTGTGTATACTTATCTAAATATCCATCTCTCCTCTTGGAATGTACACTTCTTTAAGGTAAAGATTATTTCATTTTTAAACTTCGTATCCCCATTCAGCAGCTCACTTCATGGCATATAGTAGTCACTTAATAAATGCTTGTTGTTTGATTGATTGACTTCTGCAACACTCACTGCAGTAAAAAATGTTTTTAAAAAGGTTTCTCTAACTGAGACAAGTTCATTTGTAAGGTGGGAACCAGTAAGACCAGTCATTAACTCCAGCTCAATTGATCAAAAGGGTTAGGTTGAGTGACCTCTAAGATTCCTTCGGGATCTAGAATTCTAGAGCTGGGCGGTTTACAAAAGGCTAGAAGACAATCTCTGGCCTCTAGAGTTGATAACTCTAGTGAGAAATGCAAATCATTCAAGAAATCATAGAAAACAGTAACGAGAGATGTTCCAAGGCAGCGCTGGCTAATTACTAAGCAAAAGGTCTGCACAATACTGTGAGTTTGGGGGAGAGCTCAGACTGCCCAGGAAAGCTGCCCGAGGGAGGTGAGATTTGAGCTTAGCCTTCAAAAGAGGTGGGATCTAGAGAGGGTCAGGAGAACATTCCAGGAAGGATGCAGTTGTCCAGCCACTGGACATCAGAACCTTTGACCTTAGAGGTCATCCAATCCCACTCTCTCATTTACAGAGGAAGAAAATGAGGCCACAGACGTCATTAGTAGCCAAGCCAGGATTTGAACCTGCAACGTCTGAGTCAAAACCTAGTGTTCTTTTTGCTGCACCATAAAACACACTTCAGCTCTTAGTTTTGACCATGGTCTCTGAGTCCTTGGATTAACGCTGGTCTTCAGGTACAGACAATTCAGTGTCCAGTGCATCAATGTATGTGGGCTGTTAATTTTTCTCCTGGGATAGTTATGAAAGCTGCTATATCAAATCTGATTTCATCATTACGTAAAATTAATTTACTAGGTTTTACTGTGTCTACTCCCCACACATAATCTAAAAGATGATTGTTTCCATTACAAAAATACCTTCTCTTTGTACATACTTCCCCCTGAAGTATATCGCCATGGGTTGGAAAAAATAAAATGACCACCAAAAAAAATCTGATTTTTTTTAACTTTGTGTAGACATTTTAAATCAGATGCCCCTTTAAATCAGAACTAGGCTAATGCATTTCAGATGGGAGTTTATCATTAACTTACCTTCCTGGACCAAAACAACTGGCAGAACAAGGAAAGTTAAAACTACAGTGACCAGGCAGCCTTGCCCAGAGAAGATTGGTTGGAAATGAAGATGAGGCATCTCTTGAATGAATGGGTAAGTGGGGGGGGGGGCTTATAAAGTTGGATTGATGGGTAACTTTTTAAATATTATTTTTAGTTTTCAACATTCACTTCTATAAGCTTTTGAGTTTTAAACTTTTCTACCCTCCCTCCCCACCTTTCTCCCCAAGATGTCGCACAATCTGATATAGGCTCTACATATGCATTCCTATTAAACATATTTTCACGTTAGTCATGTTGTAAAGAAGAACAAGAACCAACAGGAGGAACCACAAGAAAGAAGAAACAAAACTAAAAAAGTGAAAAAAAGCAAATAGTCTGCTTCCATCTGCATTCAGACTCCATAGTTCTTTCTTTGGATGTAGACAGCATTTTCCATCATGAGTCTTTTGGAGTTGTC